TGACCTCCCCAGGACATCAAATGACTCCCTCAGCATTCCTGAGTGCACCACAATGACTGATGGACATCCAGTCACACAGAAGAGGATCCACAATCCACAACACATCCTGAAACCACAGCACACAAGGGCCACAAAATCACCTCACTGATGACATCACACCTCTCCTGGGCTCGGGTTGTTTATTCAGCCCTCCCTGACACACATCCAACAATCCAGCTCTCCCAAAAACCAACTCCTCAAAGCTGCCGCCAGCTGACAGGGCTGGGCCAAGGCTGTGCCGCCCCTGCGGGAGCAGCATAAAAGCCGGCCCAGCGCCTCTCTCCCTCACACCCTTCTCCTGACGCCTTCTCCTGCCTTCTCTGCCCACAACCAGGTGAGCCTCCAGCCCCTCACAACCCCCTCCTGCTCCTGACACACTGCCCCCCTGGCCCCTCTCGGCCAGCACGCTCTGCCCCAGCCTCAGCAGCCCTCACGCCTCCCCACAGCCCCACACCAGCCTCCCCACTGCCCAGCCCTCCTGCAACACCGCCCCGAGCACCCCCACCGCCCGCAGCTGCCTCACACCCCTCTCTGCTCTCCCCTTCTCTTCTCTTCTCTTGCCTGCCCTCCCAGGGCCCCTCCACACCACACCCATGGCCTGCTATGACCTCTGCCGCCCCTGCGGACCCACCCCGCTGGCCAACAGCTGCAACGAGCCCTGTGTCAGGCAGTGCCAGGACTCCACCGTCCTCATCCAGCCCTCCCCCGTCCGCGTCACCTTCCCAGGGCCCATCATGACCTCCTTCCCCCAGAGCTCCGCCGTTGGATCCACCGCAGGGGCTGCCCTGGGCACGGAGCTCAACGTCCAGGGACAGCCCATCTCCGGCGGCTTTGGCTACGGAGGCTACGGCCTGGGCTATGGCCGTGGCTTTGGCTACGGCCTGGGAGGCCTGGGCTGCTCTGGCTTGGGAGGCCTGGGCTGCTCCGGCACCTGCTGAGGGTCCTTGCCACCACAGCTGACACCCCCTGCACCTGCCCTTCTCACTCTTGCACCAATATCTCCTGCAAGCAAAGCACCTCGCCTGATGGTCGCCCTACTTGCACCTCACACCTCGTCCATCCCACTCCCTGCTCCTGTCTCTTCACTCCTTTGACTCAATAAAATTCTCTTGCATCAAAGTCTCTCAGGCCTCCTCCTTTTTGATTCCAATGCTTTTACATCCTCACTCGGCACAAGGCCAGGGCTCTACAGCCATTGGGAATCTGGGAAAAGGACACAACACCTTTCTCAGCAAATCTGTCACCAGCACTAATACACAGACGGGCAAAGGAACAGGGGTGGAGGGGCCCTGCCAGAATATGGCACAAAGCCATCACCTGCTACACCAAAGGCTTCCCCACAACAAGGCTCTCCTGCACACACCTCTGCCAAAGTCTCTCTGGGCCAGCACACACTGCACAAACTCTCTTCCCCACCTGGACTCTTCACCCTGCCCAGCACAGACACAACAGCAGCCACTTGGCCAGGATGCACTGCAAGTGCTTCAACCCTCCTGCTCAAACCAACCCAGCAAGAGCAGCTTGGCCAGGACCATGGCCAGTTCAGCGTTCCATCTCCAGGCACACAGACTCCACCTCCTCTGCCACTCTCTGACCTCACACAGAACAAGGTTTGTGTTCTTTGTCCATGCAATTCCATCTGTTTCCCTTGTGTCCATGGCCCCTTGTCCTGCCCGTGTGTTCTGCTGACAAGAGCTGGGCTCCCTCCACTTCAGT